CTGGTCTTTATTATCAAAAGATCTTGTTGAGCGACAATTAACTATGAAACAACTGAGACAAGAAGTTCAACAAATAACTGGTCAAAATGGTGCTCGATTCTTAACTGTTGCAAATAGAGCGCAGAGATTATTGTCTGTGCTTGGAGAATTTCCAATTCCTCAATTTAGATATATTACCCCTAATTGGTTATATCATTTAACTAGTGTAGACTTTGATTATTTTATTCGAAAATGTAGAGAACAACTTTCTCAAACTATGGAGCATTTCGCAGGAGCTCAATACTAAGGAGGAAATGTTGTAGAATATTAATTTTATTTATTTTTATTATATTATTATTTAATGTATTTATTATTTATTTGTAATTTATGTTAATCGAAGATCATGTAACAGGTGGCTCACCAGGTTGATTACCAGGTGAATCACCTAGGTAAATTACCTGTTGCACATAACAGGTGGATCACCAGGTTAATTACCTCTTGCTAAAATTGGTAAATCATTAATTTGGTAGATCGTTGCGTGCAGCAAATCAAAGGAATATAAATATGAGTCTTCCCTGATCTGGGAAGAGGAGGTCCAAGAAGTTTTATAGTTCTCAATAGTTTAAGAGACTAGAACAAAGTTGTATCTTCTAATTAATATATTATTTAATCCTTTAATATTTACCTTTACTTTTATAATTTCTATTTTATATCATATTTTATCATTATATTTATCATTATATTTATTAATAAAGTTATATCATATTAAATATCCCCATTAAATCTTTAATTTGTTAAATTGACACGTAATTCTTAATAAAACCTGAGTTAATCTTGTATAAATACTCTTTAGCATATACATCTTATTAAGCGGACAAGCTGATTTGATGTGCTAAAACCCCGCACAATAAAGAACTCACCTTGTAATATTTATTCGAATTCACTATTAAATAATTGAATTGAGTTGATCTTAGTGATCCTCGAGAAATTCTGAGAATTATTTAAATAGTTTAAGTTAGTTTAGTTAAAGAATATTAGTTATCCTTCAGACCCTTGTCCACATATTGGTGCGACAAATTGGTGCCTCCTGTGAGGTTGTGATATTTTATTAGATAGTTTTCTTTATGTTTGATTGGAATCAACAACAGACATTAATTAATTTTCACGATAGATTACATTTACC